TATAAATTCGGGCGTTGTTAACTTGCTAATTGTACATTAAATTAATATTTGAGATGCCCATGAAGAGGACAACTCGCGCCCTGTATCTGACGCAGTGGAATTCGGAGAGGATCGTTGTTAGAACGGCAAAAGGACCGTTGATTCTGATGGAAGAAAATTCATATTTTCATTGATGATTTGTTACTCGGTTTTCTTGTAAATACATACATGAAGAAAATCAACGCTTTCTCGAGTGTTATTTCATTTTTGATCGTGAATTACAGCCATACGGATAAAACCACAGTAATATATGAATACTCTCTATATTCCCCAAACATTCAGCTTTCATATGCATCTTTTGGATTCATTCTATCTATTATAGTTTTCGAGATAATCAATGAAATGTAAAAACACTGCTTTTTTTAACGTTTTTTTCAAATTTAAACGTGAATTACAGCCAAACGGATGAAACCACAAAAATATATGAATACTTGTTGGATTCCCCAAACATTCAGCTTTCATATGCATCTTTTGGATTAATTCTATCTTTTATAGTTTTCGAGATAATCAATGAAATGTGAAAACACTGCTTTTTCGAGCATTTTTTAAACTTTGAACACGAATTACAGCCAAAGTCCTAAAACCATAGTAATATGTCGATACTTGCTAGATTCCCCAAACATTCATCTTTTATATGCATTTTTTGGATTCATTCTATCTATTATAGTTTTCGAGATAATCAATGAAATGTGAAAACACTGCTTTTTTTAACGTTTTTTCAAATTTAAACGTGAATTACAGCCAAACGGATGAAACCACAATAATATATGAATACTCTTTACATTCCCCAAACATTCAGCTTTCATATGCATCTTTTGCATCCATTCTATCTATTATAGTTTCCGAGATAATCAATAAAATGTCAAAACACAGATTTTCATATACTTTATTTTCTCTTCATTGAAAACAAAAAGAAGAAAAATTGAACCGTAAATTCCAGTTAAGTTCCAGTAATATTCATGAAATTTCCCACTATACCAAGGCCACCTATAATATTTCCCTTTGCCCCGAACATCTCCGAACGCAGTGTGATAAAAAAACCTGATTGATTCTGTAACGAACAACGTTTATTTACGCGGATTCATTTCATTTATCGCAGTTGCAATGGTTACAGCATAATAATACAAACACAATGTTTTGTTGTTTTGCTATATATTAGATTATTGAAATATTCAACATTGTAATTATTCTTATTGTTTTCCAATTACCTTACGCAACTAATTTCATTTGACATTGATTTGACTGATTCGGTTAATGGTAACTATAGTTACAACTGAATGTATGTGACAATCGTATTACCTAATATTGTTTTTTTTGTTGTTGTTGTTATTTATCCATTACATTACATATTTCATTTGTCATTGACGTGACAGATTAGTTTAAGTCATAGACTATATGGTAACCATGGCTACAGTAAATAATAATTTAGAAACATGCTATTATTAAATTACAATTATCAAAAATATTATTACGTAACGAACTTCGTTTTTTTTTTCTTCGCTTCGACGAAATCCATTGAAACGACTATTCAAATTACACGTAAATATCAATTGTAATTATTGCACATCATTTCGTTGCATTTCGTTTATCTCTGATAGTTTTTTTTTATCAATTTTATTAAACAAATAAAAGAGAACACTTGAACCCAAAAAAAAAATATATATTTAACAAAATAACAAAATTCGATATTATTGTCGTCACCATGGTAATGAATTATTTATACCCGAATCAGATTGATTTTTCGTTTAGAATCGATAGATTGTGAATAATTTCGCACGGCAATCATGGACGAAAATCAGTGTGATTTGGAAATGATTGCGCAAACGAATATAATGTAATCGAAACTGAACTTTATCGAATCGAAAGAATTTTATTGAATCTCAACGTTATGCAATATCTACGTGTTTAAAAAAAAAATCCTGTCTTCTATATGTAAATATAAAAAGAAAAAAACAATAGAAACACGCATAGGATTCGTCGTTGCCTTCGTTACTCGATTTTTTTTGTTTTATTTCCATAACAGTTCGAACTAGCAAATTTTCTGATAATATTCATGTGCGTAGTTAAAAATATCAACCAAAAATGTATATTATTATCGTTATGTCATTATGTCATGTTCATTATGTTATTCTTTTCTCGTTGTTTTCCAGTTTAAATGAAGTATTTCGTGCTGTTATTGTAAAATTTATATTTATATATTGCTTTATTTAATGATGCTTTGTAATTATCGAAATCCGACCAATCGTATTGCGATTATTAGGGAAAATGCGTTCATCCCATTGGTGCTTTTGAAATCATCAATTGTTCCAAATTCGCTGTATGAAGTAATGTATATGTATGAGGTAAATAATCATTGGTTGTTTTAACGAAGCATACGTTTTACGAATCGACCAATCACATTGGTAATTATCAAAATTGCGCTTTTCCCATTGGTGCGTTCAATTGTTTCAAATTGTAATTATCGTTTGAAAATCGTGAATTATATAGCTTTTTTATGTTGTTGTTGTTGTTGATATAGAGTTGATAAAATAGAAATCCAATTGAAGAATGATGACATATTATCGCTTCGAGATAATCGAAAAACCCGATAATGCAATATAATTCACTATTATTAATGTATTTTATGAATTGAGGTGTGAGCTCAGAAATATTTGATGAAACTTGTTGAGACATGTGGCGAGAATTCATCTGAGATACGCGATATTTCGTTGTTGTTTTGTTTATTTTTCGGTTGTTGTTTTGTTGTTGGATGTTGAGATTTTTGGGTCGAGCGAAATCCGAAAAAAAAGAAAGAAAAAAAACCCGTTTTCTCGTTGGTGTTGTTGTATAATTAGCGAAAGGACGAAACGGGATCAATAGACGAAACGGTTAATAAAAACTCATTAATTGTGTGCACTTAATTGACTAATTGCTATAAGATCGGAGCGATGATCTCCTTACCTTACTTACTGCAGTTCGTTATCTTTCTCTCTGTTATCACCACAAACACGGTGTTGTCAGTTCACAAAACCCCCGATCTCGTGCTGATTTTTCTGTTTTATTTGTGAAATTGTTAGTTATTTTTTGTTGTTGTTGTTGCTATTGATTTTGGTTGAAAGTCGATTTGCAAATTAACGGTATGCGAAGGAATCGTTCGTCCGTTCACTTTCATTACGGAGGAGGCCGTACGTGCACTAAACTGGGATCGCGACTCTCGCGCACTTAAGTCAAATATTAAGTAGCGGCTAAGTTGGGAGTCTCGGCGGAATTTGTTGCTGCGCCGAACGTATCTCTCTCTCTCTCTCTTAGGTGACTACTACCACTACTACTACTACTAAATACTACAGGGAATTCGCAGCAAGAAAGTTACTTTTCACATAATCAAAAGGCGCCTCTTCGATGATCCAACACACCGAACAGATATAACTTAGCTTAACTTAAGTCTTTTATTGCTGCAATTCGTCTCTCGAGACGTACATTTTAATTGCCCTGCAATTAGCAATTTAATTCAATTACATTCTAAACATGAATTGTTTAATAAAATGTTTACATCTCTCTTAGTTCATTGTATCAAATTCATAATGAATTACATAAAAACAAGTATCGTTGCTGTGCGGTTGCTATGAGGTTGCTAAGGACGCTACGGAGTTGCTAGAGACGCTATAGGGTTGCTAAGGACGCTACGGAATTGCTAGAGACGCTATGGGGTTGCTAAGGACGCTACGGAGTTGCTAGAGACGCTATGGGGTTGCTAAGGACGCTACGGAGTTGCTAGAGACGCTATGGGGTTGCTAAGGACACTATGACGATTTTTATAAACTTAAGTTAAGGGAGAAAATACAAAAAAAAAACTATATTATGTATTGTTGTATCAATTTTTATGTCGTATAATTTTTATTCACAACTTGTTCATCAATGTGAACATTGACTAAATTTAATCGTGGGTAATACGAAATTTATAGCGAATTATATAAGATCAATTATCTTTACAAAGGACGTTACTCGGTTGTTATGAACGCTACGGTTGCTTGAGACGGTAGTAGTTATGTGGTTGCTAAGCACGCTATGATGTTTTTTTTCATAAACTCCATAAAAAGTAGTTAAAATTTGAAGACGAATTTCTCGTAAAAATTAAGTTAACAACTATACACGAATACTATACTTACATTAGTTAAGAAGTAATGAATTTTAAGTTGGAAAGGAAAATTAAAATTTTAAAAACATTTTAGAGGAACAACAAAGACATATGTTAAAACAGCAAACTTTGATCTTTAATCTATATACAAAATAATGGAAGTAATGCTTTTTCTTATATAATTTGACGGAAGTAAATAATGTTATGGAAATAAAATTGAATTCAGGTGTAGAAATATATTAAATTTACAATAATATAATATATATATATATAATAAAGATAAACTTTATGAAATAACAAAAAAGATAGGTGTATTTAAAAAAAAATAATAATAATATAAACTGATAAAAGATTTTAAAATCAAATAACAAATTGTTGCAAATTATTTGCAACAATAATAATATGTAAAGATAATAATAAAGATAATAAAACATTAGTAATTACACAAAAAAAAAATAAGTAAAATAAAATAAAATTTTTGACTAAGATTCAGCACACAGCCAAAAGTACAATAATAAAATAAAATTTAAACAAATAATAAAGACTAAAAGAAAAGAAAAAAAAGAAACGCACACTACGTAAATTATTAAGTACAATTAAATTAAACAATAATAATACAATTATTCTACACACTTTTATATATATAAAAAAACAAAATAAAAGAGAAAACAAAGAAAAAAAAACGTGAATCGCGTTTTGTACTTGTTAAATTCGCTATTTACAAAGTGATTAGATTAGAAAATTTTTCATTATCATATTTAAATTATGAACTTAAAAAAAAATGAAATATAATCATATGTATCTAAAATGTAAATTGAAAATTTGCAAAGATTATGGAATTCAAAATTTCTAATTATAAGTGTAGATAAAAAGTTGTTTTTTTGTTTGTTTTTTTTTTGGTAAATTGGTAAAAAGGTTTTCGCGTTCGAGGTTGTTCATTTCTTGGGTGTGCGTTTGTGGTGGTTCTCGTAAGAGATGACGACTCCTTCGTGATTAGGTCTGACCTCGTCCGAATCCAAGTTCAATTTTTCCTCGACTTTCGGATCGTCTGGTACTAAAACGAGACTGTTGTGTGGGCCGTGGATCAGATGTCCCATATGATGGACACCGACTTCTTGCACTTCGCCCAAATGGTGATGACCTAACCGATTGTTTTATAGTTTACCAATTTTTTTTTGGTTTCGCTATTGACAAACTCACCCGGAGATTCGATTTTGGCTTTAACGTCAGGTCCTTCCTCCAGATCGTTACGCTTGATGCCCATCCCGAAATGATGGTTACCTTTCAGATGAGATTCCGGTGTTTTCGGAATGCTGTACTTCTTACCCTGAACGTCCGCGTTCTTACCCAAACCGAATTCGCGATGTCTTCCAACCAGATCCTCCTGCATGAACGTATTCAAAACCTCCTTCAATCGCGTCAAATCCAGTTCCAAATCTTCGGAATTGTGCACGTTCACGAAGTTGACGAAATCCATCAAGTTCTTATCGCTCAACCGATGCTCCGAACCTTCGATTATATCAAGAAGTTCCCTCAATTGCTCTCTAAAAAACATCATTAAAACGTAAATTATATTATATAAATTTATTTGTTACCTATCGTAATTCAAATTGGAAATGTCTTCGTCTTCCTCTTGATTCTGGATGCTCTTTAGTAATTGAATCAATTTCGAATTGATCTCGTACCGTTGCTCATCCGTGGTCGCGTTCGGCGTGAGCAAAGTGTGACCTTGGGTTTGCGATGTCGGCGGCGATAGGTTCAATAGTTCTGGGACATCCGCGATTCCGATTTCGGTGCGATTGGGATGGAGCAGAGCGAAGAGATTCGTGGGTAATTCCGACGTGCTCTGATCGGCGATTTCGCAATCCGTCGTCTGTATTTTACTGCAGGACGTGCAGCTGCAGTTCGTTATGATCTGCACCCTCTTTTGAACCGTCATCTTTGCAGGATCCGTGTTCTCTCTATCCGCCGTCAAAGTCACCTGTAAAATGAAGTGAATTACAGTGAAGACAATGTCAATGTCAACGTCAATGTCAACGTCAACGTCAAGGTGTGTTATTTACGTGGTAGCATTGCGTTGCTAAGGGTTGACAGCTGTCGCAGTAAGGGCCTATCAGTTCTCCGGGTTCCGCGGGTTGCGTTCTCGGAATGCTGTAGCTGTAGCAGGCGCCAACGCACACGTTGTTGTCGATTGTCGTCGATTTGTAGCCGGGTTTCGAGACGATCTGCTTGATGGCCGTCGTCTGGCACCAAGAGTGTCTCTCCGGATACAAAACGATGTTGTGAACCTGAAACAGTTTAAAACACGCATTCAGTTAGTTTAACGTTTTGCCAAATCTTTGCTTCGATCTTTTCACTCACTTTGTGTTCTCTGTCTGCGGACGCGAATCTCGTCACGGCCAGCGCGATCAAAACGGTTACAGCTGATTTAACAAACTGGGAACAAAACAATAATTAACAAATTTGAAAACATTTGTGATTTACACTTCGTTATCGATAATTCAATAAACTCGAAATGAGAATTTATACAAATATTTCTATTTAATTTGATCAAATGTTTTAAAATCGTCTGAAAAGTGTGCTGTTTTTCAGCAATTTTCAGTAGATTTTCAAATTATCAAAATACAAAAAAATAATATTTAAAATGAAAAAATAATTTTTGTTTAACAAAAAAAATATTTTTCTAATGATCGTCTGAAAAAACTAAACAAAATTTTAAGTAACTTCTTGTACAGTGTTAGGTTTTACTGAAAATTTCTATTTTTCATGAATTCAATTGAAACTACAGGAGATTTTTTAACAAATATTTCTATTTAATTTGATCAATTGTTTTAAAAATCGTCTGAAAAGGTGTTTTTTTCAGTAATTTTCAGTAGATTTTCAAATTCTCAAAATACAAAAAAATCACAATTAAAATTAAAAAATAATTTTTGTTTAACCAAAAAAAAGCATTTTTCTAATGATTGTCTGAAAAAAACTAAACAAAATTTTCAGTAACTTCATGTACAGTGAATTTAAACAAATATTTCTATTTAATTTGATCAATTGTTTTAAAAATCGTCTGAAAAAGTGTTTTTTTTCAGCAATTTTCAGTAGATTTTCAAATCAGAATTAAAATTAAAAAAAAAATTTGTTTAACAAAAAAAAAACATTTTTCTAATGATCGTCTGAAAAAACTAAACAAAATTTTCAGTAACTTCTTGTACAGTGTTAGGTTTTACTGAAAATTTCGATTTTCATGAATGCAGTTGAAATTACAGGAGATTTTTTAATAAATATTTCTTATTTCTTTTGTTGTTTTCAAACGAAACAAAAATCTTGTAGAAAAAAACTTAATTCTTGCAAACATTCTTCCTTTACATTATAAATATTTGTTAAGGAATGTCCATTAATTTTTTAACTTTATTAAATGTTTTAATTGAAAAAACAGATTATTTGAATTCATCAATAATTACTAATTACTAAGTAATATTAATTGCAGGAGTGACGTGCACTTATTGTACAAGTTTTAAAAGAAAACAACAAAATATATCAATCAGAGATTGTGTAATTTTCTAAGCAGAAATACCACAAACAATAATAGTTTCGTTAATTATGCAACGAAGAAAATATGTGGCAATTCGAAACATTTTCTTTCATAAAGTAACAAAAAAATTTCAATTTCTTTCTCATATGATTATTAATTAGAAAAATGAAATAAAATTTTCTTCCTAATACAAAAAAAATATTACATTTTATTTAAGCAATTTTTTCATATGTTTTATTGAAATTTTTATCGTTTCTTTATTTAATTGATAAATTATTAACAAAATATCTCAAATGTTCTTTCTAAAATCAACATTTTTCAAACTTACTTTCAGTAATTTAAAAATTAATTGATCAATTATTGAGAGTAATTCTATGTGCAATAGAAGTTATATCAATTATGTAACGCGATGATGTTTAAGAGTATAAATCGATGCGAATCTATAGCGAATTATTATCTTTGTTGTTTTCTTTCTTTTTCGTAGTAGATTGAATGCAGAAAACGCGTTTCATGAAAAGGCAAGGAAATTTGTTGTTTAGAATTCAAGGAGCGTGTGTGTTGTGTGTATGTCGCAAGATCGAGACGAAGACGGAGATTTTGTAGTTTTCTCTTTCTTATTTATTTATTTATTAATACATCGCGCGACTAGTTCACCTTGCAAAGCCGATACAAGCTCTCACGTAAAGATAGACAACGTATCTATATCTATTCATTTAACTTTAAAGATTTACGTAATTCGCTTGGAAAATAAATCGATGAGGAAACTCAAGTTTTCGTTTTGAAGAAACAACAGGGAAAAAAATGTAGTTGAAGGGATGTGGATGATGTTATTTTTGGTTTGTTCGAGGGTTGACGCGGTGATATTTATAGAGTTCTAAATGTGAGGAATCGCGAGGAGCTATCGATGAATGGTCGGACGAGTAACCCTGTTGTTACTTCTCTACTCTTCTCGCGTGTGAATACAATCTCTCACTCGCGCGCGCGCGGAGGACACGCGAAGAAGGAAAAGCCAGTTTCTCGTCAATTTCCTTCTTGTTTCTCTAATTTCTTTGTATTCGTTGCATTCCCTTTTCCAACTTCATCTATCCAAGGAAGTCTATTTTTTTATTTGGAATCGCGCGCGCTCTCGTTCGCGCCACTAACCCAATTCGAATCTCACTAAGTTCACATCGCTTACCATATTGTCGTCCCGTTTGCGTCCAAATTCGATGATTAATTCACTTTTTTTTTTGTTTGCTCTTTGACGATAATCTCGTGAGTTTTTTTTCTTTCTCTCTGTTTTTTTCTTTTCTTTTTAACTTCGATGTTATTCTTGCGTTGTTGCGTTCGATGTGCTGTTGCGCTTCGTGAATGGACTCATTTCTCGTCGCGCGTTTCCCACCGACTGAACCAAAAAACCGAACGAAAACTGTTGCTGAAGGCAAAAGCGAGCACAGCAAGCGAGTACCACCAACTAACCAACTAACCAACAAGCCTCCTCCTCCTCCTCCTCCTCTCTCGCACACTCTCTTACTCTCTGCGGTACGCGGCACGCGGAGAGCGTATGATGATGGTGTGTTCAGGTGAGGTGAGGTGAGCCTCGCCTCGTTCCCTCCTGGTGAAAGGTCACGGAACAACTGAATGCGAACGACGACGACGACGAGAGAAGCGGCCAACTCGTTTCTGAGGAGGTGAGGTGATTCGATCTCCTCCTGGATGGATCACAACACTAATACACACTTACGTACAAAACTTGAACACCTGTTTCTTCTCTTCTCTCTCTCTTCTCCACTTTACCTCACCTACATCATCATCATCGTCACTTCTCTTTTTTTCTCTCTCTCACCGTTTTTCTTTACATTTATTTCTTACTAGTTCTCAATATTTCTTTCATTTTCTTTTCTCTTCAGAAAAATATAGAAAATTACACTAATTTTCTCTCTGTAATTCTAAAATATCACTTTAATATTCCCATTTCTCAATGTTTATCATTTTCTTTCTACAACTATAAAGAATTACGTAATTGTAGCATTTCTGTGTATATTATATTTTTTTTTGTATTTTATCTAAGAAATGCAAACAGTATCAGAAATTGTAAATATACTCAAATTATTTCCAATACATCATCATTTACTTAATGATAATTCAATCAATTTTTGTTCTCACTGTTCCTACATTTTTCTTTTTCCACATATTTTCTCAATAATTTTGTCTACTTCCTTCTTTCTTTTCACTTAATTTTATCAAAGAATTCCGTAAAAACGTGAAAACTGTAATTCTATACTGATTTAGCATACTAATTAAAATTTCAATCGATTTCCTTTGATTTGATACAAATTTAGTATATTTCATATAATATCAATTTACTCAATAACTATGAACGATAGAATGATGAATGAGCAAGCAAATTAAAGCTAAATGTTTGGGCTTTCCAAAGTGTGGTCTGTTATATTTGTAACTAATGCTGTTTTCCTAAAATTTATAGTCAAAGTTGAAAAAACGATTTTCTAAGCCTCGAAAAATCTAGTGTCTTTACAAATCATCAATTTCCTCAATAACTATATACGATACAAAGATGAATGAGTAATCAAATTAAAGCTAAATATTTGAAGTGTCCAATGTGTGATCTGTCATATTTGTAACTAATGGCGTTTTCGTACAATTTACAGTCAAAGTTGAAAAAACGATTTTATAAGCTTCGAAAAATCGAGTATCTTTACAAATGATCAATTTCCTCAATAACTATATACAATACAAAGATGAATGAGCAATCAAATTAAAGCTAAATGTTTGGGCTTTCCAATGTATGGTCTGTCATATTTGTAACTAATAGAGTTTTCATATAATTTACAGTCAAATTTCATCTCTTTTTCTATTCTTTACATTTCTTATTTTGTATATTTCTTTCTTTCTTTCTCTTTAGAATTCTCCATATTTAGTTGTATCTGTATATTTCTGTGTCTTTATGCATCTTTTTTTTTCTGTTTTCTGTGTATTTCGTTTTGTATTTCATTATATCTTTCTCTTTTTCTCATACAAAACACACACACACAAATACCCACTAGCATGCATCTCTTTCTTTTCTCTTTGGTTGTCGGTTGTGTCGGTATTGCCGACACACGAAGAACGGGGTCTTTGGTTACGTCACGCGACAGTTCACAATCGGAATGGAATGGTATCGGTCGCTCGTTCGCTTGTTCGCTCCGCCACTCGACTCAACTCAACACAACGCAGGAAAACGATAATTAATAAGAAAATAAAGGAACAAACAAAACAAAACCGCTGCTTTTCGCAACAACCAACACCTCTGTCTTTACTCTCTGCAGCACCATATGGTCCTCCACCTAGATTACACACCTTTTGTTTTTTGTTTGTTTTATTTTGCATAGAAACTATATCACAACCTACTATTACTATGAAAAGTTGCGATTTCAGACTTTTGGAAATGCATATTTCCCATTTTTTTTGTTTGTTTCTGATTCAATCTTATTTTTAACTCTGTCAAATTAATTCGACAAGTAAAAAAAAACAAGTTTAAAAAAAAAAAACATATTAATAATTAAAAAGATTCAGAAAGATGAGCAAAGTCTGCAAGAATTCGACATTTGCTGTCGTTTTCACATATATTAACATAATTTATTGATTCTGTAATTCATCCGGCGACTTGAATCTGCACACGGTTAAATTTCTAGTTAGCACTCTAGACCGGTTGTTATTATTATAATATTATTATTTAATATCGTCGTCGTCATAGAAACAATAAAAAATAAAACGAAACAATGATGTTTACGTTTCTGTGGCAACTCTAATTGGTATTGATTATTAGTGTTGACGTTTCCGGTACGTTATAAATAGAACGTATTTTGTTTACGACGATTCGATTCGGATAAATAAACGATTTCGATTGGATTTTGAGGTCGAGATCTCTTGGATCCAAGTTCATGTTAGTATCTCGAATAAACATTCGATTGGAATTTTGCACACATTTACACGAAATCAAGTTGTAAAACTTACAAATTTCGAATTGATAAAATTGCAAATTCTGTGATGCGATTTTCATAGCGTTTAAAATCGTTGGCGAGAATAAATGCAAATATCCGAAGAGACGATTAAATTTCATTAGGTCATCAGAAATCCGCGAACGAGTCGAGTGTGCTTATAAAACTCAATCCGGACTGCAATTTGTTTATTCATATTCCGACATGTTTTTGTTTTATTCTTCTTCTATTATTAAGAAGAAAACAAAACAACAAAACAAAAATGCAAATGACCAATGAACAGTCGATTAAAACTCGTTTAGTTTATTGAGAATTCAATGAAATTAGGAAATTTTAATTATTTGTTGAATCGTGAGATGTTCGCAACAGTTCTTCATTGAAAGCAAGAAAAATAAATTTGAATATTTGTTCTGTTTGATATGCAACTTGATTTGCATCATTCAAGTTAGTTCAAAAAAAAGAATGAAATTAGTATGCAACCAAATTTGCTTTTTACTACTAGATTCTGCTTTTGAAATGAAAAAAATATTATTGTTATTAGTTTTGAAAGAAGGTGTTGGGCAAATAAATGCAAAACGTATAAAATTTAATATCTTATATTTAATAAAAAATAAAATTTGAATTACTAAGTAACATAAATACAAGTCCCCTGATGTTCTTCGTCTTCATCTTTTTTTTTCTCTCTAAGTTAAAGAAATGCTGTTTTTTTTTTTCGTGTCTTCCATTGGAGTTAAACGAAATGAAAAATTAAAAAAAAAGAAAGCTATGATGGAGGAGGAGGAGGAGGAAATGTTGTCCATCTTGTTTCAGATCCAAGCAGCCAATCGATACTAAACTATTGAGTATAAAATATGCTGCCCTGAGGAGTTTCATTCATTCGTTTCTCTTGTGTTGCGCGAACATTTAGTTGGCCCAAGCTGGGAACTCGTCGAGGCCGTAGATGGCTTGTCCCAAGAACGGGAAGATGAGGAAGAGCACCGACAGAGAGATGACGGTGACACCGAGACCGGCTTTCACCATTTCCCTGGTCGGGATGTTGCAGGGAGCGGCGGCTATGGCATTAGGAGGAGTCGCGACTGGAAGACAGTAGGCGTGGGAACAGGTGAGCGCTGCCGGCATCATCAAGTAGAGAGGATGCCATTTGGCCACCTTCGACATCTCCGCTAAGACTGGAAGGAGGACGTTGGCGACCGCTACGTTACTCGAAAATTCGGTCAGAGTGGAGGCGATCAGACAGGCTATAACGAGAACGACGAATTTCGGAAGTTGCACGATTCCTTGCAGATTTTCCGCTATCATTTCACTCATGCCGCTCTCTTTGGAACCTTCTGCCAAAGCGAAACCTCCTCCGAGGAGGAAGATCAAACCCCACGGCAGTTTAGCCTGGACCACCTTCCAGGTGATCAAAGCCTGGGAGGCGACGACCGGGCGTTTGCTTTTGTCCTTGCTGAAGATCCAGATGAAATCCGGTTTGGCTGGAATCACGAAGAGCAGCATCACGACGATCAGTGCCGCTGTAGCATCTTGGACTTTGTGCTCGGTGATGAGTTCCGCCCAGCCGGCGATGAACTGCGGTTTCCTGAAGAACCATAGGAAAACGCTGAGGATGAAGCAGAGACCGACTGCTATTTCGTGGAAGGTCATCGGACCCATGTCGTCCATCTTCTGGCGGATCAACTTCCTGGCGACGAGCTCTCCCTGCTGGCCGACGCGAACCCTCTTCGCGTCCTCGGATTTCGGCCTGAACAGACCCATGAAGAGGTACTGAAGCCACACCCAGGAGAGGAACATGGTGATCAGCATTATGGGCACGTTCAGGAACATCCAGGAGGTGAAGTCGATGCCGGTCGGGCTGTCAGGGAAATGGGTCTCGTAAATACCTGAAGAAAAACAATGAAATAACATTAATTTAATTTTTTTCGGTATAATTGAAATGCGGTACCTTTGAAAGTGAGGTTGGTACCGCTGCCCACGATGCATCCAAGGCCACCTATGCTTGAAGCGTACGCAGCGCTCAAGAAGTAACAGATTGTCGTCTTGCTGGGTCTCCTCGTCTCCCGATGCTCTACTGCTTTCGCTCCATCAGTCTCCACTTTGACGGTAGCTTCTCCGTCGGTCTTCACGTCACCATTCTCGACCTCGTCCTTCTCGTAGAGCTGCCCGATCCCTTGACTCTCCAGCTCTTTGAGCGTCGCCTCCATGATCGGACACATCATCGCAATCGCTGCCGTGTTCGAGATCCACATGGACACGAACATCGCGACGGCGACGAGTCCGAAATTCAGTTTCCTGGGGCTGCATCCCACCCAGAGGATCACGTACAACGCGACGCGTCTGTGCAGATTGCAATGCTCGACGGCGATGGCTATCACCAATCCACCAACGAACATCATGTTGGTTTCCTTCAAGTAGCAAAGCGACGTCACATCCGAACCCAACACTCCCATCAGCGGAAACAGCACCTGAAATTAAACAAGTAGTACCACAAGGCAATGATCTAGGTCCTAAGTTTTATATGTCTTACCATTGGAATGAGAGCTGTAACCGGGAGTGGTAAAGCTTCTGTTACCCAAAATCCGGCCATCAGCAGGACGACGTACAGACATCTCAGAGCTTTGATGTTGTTTACTACGAAGACTGGAAGCAGGATGAGAGGAAAGACTATGACGAAGATCGCCCTCCAATAGACCCGAAAGGCGTTCCACAAAAGCCGCCCGGCGGATGCCATCTCTTTCCCGTTGTGTTCCCGCACAACTGATCCTGCAATAAGTAAGGTGGAAAGATTTAAAAATAGTTTCTTTCGATGAATGGAAACGAATAAAAGTAAAAGAAAGATGATTTGCATTTCTATCCTACGATATTATAAATATTCTCGATGACCTTCTCATCTATTTTTAAACACTCTGTAAATTATAAAGGAGGAAATACTCAAAATATTCGTATACACCAGTAATTCCCAGTAATTTAATTTAGTTAAAACATTTTCTTTTACTTGTAAAAATTTGCAGACTAAACTTGTCCCGTTTCATTAAATTTTCAACCAAAACGAGTTTCGCGTATATAATTTCAATCTACCTGTTTTATTGCTTTTATTTAACGATATTATTGAATTCTGTCTGCAAATCTATCGACATTTGCATAAATTTTCGCTTGTCCGACTCGACAAAAATCAAATCAATTGTCGGTATTGTTCGTTTTTTTTCTTTCTTTCTTTCCTGTCAATGGAATAGCTTTGAAGTCCGTTATCAGATACATTCTTCAAATGCATACGCGTGTGGATCTTCGAATTACGCAACGTCGTTAAAGCGATTTGAAAATAAAAAGTGTAAGAAAATCCAAGGACGAAACTTTTATAGCAGAGAGAGAAACAAAACTATGTAAAACGTCAATTTGATTTGGTTTGTGCGTTTTCTCTATAAATTTATCTTAATGAGTTTCAGTTTAAAGTTTTTCAATTTGCAAATTTTTTTCTTGTTTTGTTGATTTGCTGTGTGTGGGTGGGTCGCTTTGAATAGAAAAAAATTGCTTAGCAACGCGTGTTATGAATGGCTGCAATTGTTTGGAGGTGAGTCTGATTGACCTGCAATTGTGTCAATTGGTTATTAGCTTCAATTTCATTTGTTTCTTATCGAATGGCGACGTTTGTTGTTGAAACACGTGCGAATCGAAAAAAAAAACAACAAACATTCAGTGATTAAATGTATGTAACAAATATATTAAAAAAATTTTATTGATTTTATTAAAAAAGAAAAACTAAATTAGTTAGGTTAAAAACATTAAAATTTATTTTTGAAACAATTTACAAAGAAATTTGAAATTGATCGACGGTTGTTAAAATCATGCAATAAACATCGATTAGGTAAAAAAAACATAATTTATCGCTATTAGATAATGATACATTTAGAATTAGTAATGAAAAATTATATTATGTAACAGATTTTTTTTTTAAGATTCGAACGATTTATAGTGAAAATTATTCCATTATTACCAATTTATGCATTGGAAATTAATTAATACTAAAATATTTTCGAAACGAAATCTTGTCTGGTCATTTCAGTTGTTTCTCGTCAATTCCTAGTAAACAAAAGTCTACTTAAAAGACAGTAGACTGTGCCTGATTACCATGACAATAGTTAATAAGCTTTGTTCCGCTGCTTAGCAACTGGTAAGCGTGAACCCAAGGTAATTCCGATAGCGATCGCGAAAGATGCAAATCCGAATTGTCCGATGATCTCTTACGTAATAACCGAAACGTTATCATTGCGCAATTTATCTATTGTTATTTACATAATTTTTTTTTGTGTGAATCAGATCGGTTTTTTCTTTTTATATATTCGTTTACGTAACGGGGGAAATCGCAGATTTGATGGAGAATTGAATTGGAATTTGCGTCAAGTGTACGTACGTGACTGAACGAAGCTAGCAGTCAGTTTCCTGACACAGTTCCGACTAATTTATTAATTTGTTTACAACGAATCCGCGATGCACGCACTTCAACAAAAGAGGCAATTGAACTTAATTCACGCTCATCATCAACGATTGATGATGATATTTACCACTTTTTTTTTTGTTGTTCTTCTTCAACTCTTCGTTCTTGTTAATCGTTTTGGAACGGTTTTCGATCGACTATTATCAATGGATCTCGTTCACATTGTGGGGGGCTCGATCCTCCCGTTATCACGAAAACTGTAACCTCCACAATCGAGATAAGAAGATTCGAGTCGAAATGCGGAGAAAGTTCTTCTTGCAAAATCTTGCGTAATCTCGTCTCGTCTCGTCTCTCCTCTCTCTGACTAAGATTCTATTTTTGAGATTATCTCCAGGAGCAGACGACAATTAGCTGTTATACTAATATTGTCTGTGCGATTCGACGAAAGATAACTTTGCTAATTTCAATCGCGAAATCTGAACTCACTTTGGACTTGAGTCAACAAAACAATATTTATAAAATACGACAAGAATTGAAAATAAACTTTTGGAAGTCGAATTTGGAAAATTTCCATTTTATTCATTAATCAAAGTCAATGTTTCATTTGTTTGTAGTTAATATCAAAAAAACAGTGAAGATACGTAATTTATGTACGAGTTATCGTCGGTTTGTTTGATGTTTCTGATATAACAAAAAAAAATCGCGAAGAGTTCAAATTACAAAGTGCATTTTTTTTTAATAATATTTTCTTTTATCGATAAAAGTCTTGTTGATTTCTATAGTTCTACTTGTGTTGGACTAAATTTAGTGAGTGTCATAGAACTTGGCGCTTAGAACTGTGCCAATTTTCGCTCTCTCACTCATAGTCGCATCAGTTTTGCATTATTTTTTTTTATCGCGGAATGTTATCAATATATCAATAGAATTATCTATCGGCGTAATCCATTGGAAAAAAATTGTTTAAGAGTGAAAACGTATTTGCGCCGTTAATATTTGAAATATTTATGAACAATTTTCTGTTATGTTTTTTCTGAACGCACGAAGAACTGTGTCGAGGTCATCTCGTATCTGTTCAAACTTGAACCGTTTTTCTTACGTGTATTAAACAATTTTGAATAAAAAAAGAAAATTGCTGTAATTTTTCAGTTGGAAAGTTTTTTTTTGGTATGTTTAAATTTGTATTCTAGTAGTTTGCAAATCTTTGGAATGCGGTCTCTAGATTCAAAAAGAATTTCAACCGATTTGATAATCGAATTCATGTGAAAAAAAGAAGGAGAAAACATATGAAATATTTGACGTTTAACACAAATATTTAATGTGATATTTGTAATATGTCAAATTTGACGTTTCAAGTGTATTCAGTGATGGTACCTTGTTATCTGTCAAATTTGACGTTTCAAGTGTATTCAGTGATTGTACATTGTTTTCTGTCAAATTTGACGTTTCAAGTGTATTCAGTGATTGCACATTGTTATCTGTCAAATTTGACGTTTCAAGTGTATTCAGTGATGGTACATTGTTATCTGTCAAATTTGACGTTTCAAGTGTAT